ATTGTTTATTTATTTTTTAAATTATTATTATCAGAGACACGTTTTTTTTGTGTAACGCGTTTTTTTTTTTACTGTGAGACGTAATATATATATGATATCGTGTGAATGTACCTATGATGTGTGCAACATAATATATTATATACTGCAGCAGACACTGCGACACCGATAACGGGATTGTGGGCACTGCACGCGAGTGTGGTCGTCATCGGATATTCCTCTTGGGCTTCCAGTGGGTGAAAGAGATTGCTAAATAAAAAAATWAAATTTCCTATATTTTTTGWCGTTGAACGTAATAATAAATTACAATAATAATAAAATATAGAAGAATGGGATAAATTTGTTAGGAAATTATGTTGTTTTGTACGAGAGTTGTTGGAGAAAAAAAAATTATTATATAATGATTAGCGGAAACTTATTATTATTATTTTTATTATTTACAATGTTTTCACGTATGTATTGCCTTAGTTGTATTTTATTTTTATTATTTTTTTTTTCATTTTGACGACTGTGATTTGTATAGTTAAGTAGGCAAATTTAAAAATTATTATTATATAAATTGTCTTTAATGTTTATTCATGCTAATATAATAAAATATATACTGTATAGTTATAATATTATGTATAATATATTATGATCCAATAAAGAATACAATTTTTAGACCATACACGTCATACACTATATAATATTATACTAGTCGAGTTCATGTTATTTTTGTTTTTCTGCGTCGAGTGAAAAATAGCAATATAGCTCGACGGACGTGACGTTGATAGAGCCAGTCATCGGGTAGGAATATCACGTAGTCACAGCAAGCAAGATTGACGACATCGACAACCCAAAGACAACTGCACAATTCATATATATATATATATATATTATATTATAATATTATTGTTCGATGCGCTGAATATATTATAATCATTGATATAGCAAATATCACACATCGCTGCCAAACTCTAGGGCCGTGAAATGAAATGTGCGAATTTCGGCGTGCTAGACTTCAGACTAGGTGGTTAGGTAGGAATAAATCGTTTTAAACGTTGATGCCATACGTCGATTATTGGAAACGATACCACCTTTAACCCCATCGGACG